GCAACCTTGCGAACTGGGAGCAGTGCTGTTAACTCGGGGGAGCCCAAGCCAGGCCCAGAGGAGGAAGCTTTGCCTAGAGAATGAAGGAGCCGTGAAGACAGGTCTGGGAACCCCCGCTGACAACAGGTGATGGGGCCCAGCCCGGCTCCAAGGGGCTCCGTCATTGTGAAGGGGAGCCCAGAGCAGCCAGCGGCTGAAGACCTGACTCCCGGGAGCATGACCGGAGCCAGCCGTGGGCCTGCTGTCTCTGCACGGGGCCAACGCTGGGGTCACACTGGGGTGCCCCAAGGGCCTCAGACAACAGGGTCCAGGAGCCACAGCCTGGAGGCGAGACCTGAAGACCAGGGAAGACCTCGCGGGCCTGGGACGGACTGGCCCTGGCGGCTGGTGCGTGCAGAGGCGCTGGAAGAAGAGTGTGTATATCGCGTGAGGGCGAAGGGGCAGATGTCAGCCAGGAAGAGTGGGAAAGGCTGGGGTGCCCTGTGCTTCACAAAGTTGGTCCCCGAAGAGAGAGATTCGGAGCCCTCAGTCCTTCCTCTCTGCCCAGGCCCGCCTGACTCTTCATCTGGCTGGAAATGAAAAAAACTCCAAGTTCCCTTTTAAGGCTCACGGGTACATTATATTGGAATAATCCACCTATAACTTTCTATGACGTTCCAGCCACTGCGCTCGGCTGCGGCTCTGTAATGGAACCTCTCCCAGCTTTCCGACAGGAATGGGATGGTGGCTAGACGTGCAGGCGGGTCTGGCCAGCTGGGGCCTGGGGTCTGCCTCAGCCAAGACCTTCCTCAGTCTGATCTGCTGCTAAGCCCACTCAGCGAATGTCTTGTTTCTGAGACTGCAGTTTTCGGTTTTAGAATTTCCATTTGGTTCTTTAGATTTTCTGAGATTTCCCAATTTTCATTCATTGTGAGCATCTTTTCCTTTACATCCTTGAGCACAGTTATAATAGTGGCTTTAAAATCCTTGTCTGCGAATTCCAGCATCTGGGTCATCTCAGGATCGGATTCCACGATTGCCTTTCCTCTTGAATACGGATCAAGTTATATTGCTTTCTCGTGTTTAGTAATTTTGGATTGTATCCTGGATATCATGAATGATATGTTGTAGACACTCTGAATTCTGTTTTTCTCAGGGGTACTGATTTTTTTAAGGGGGGCAGTTAATTTGGCTAAAGTTAAGCTTTAAACTGTCCCCTCTGCATTGGGCTGCAGCTAAAATCTCAGCTCGTTCCTTTCAGCCGTGGCTGGGTTGTTTGGTCTGACTGCTTAGGGTCAGCTAGAGATTTGGGCAGAGCTCACACTCAGAACTTGGTGTTCCTCTTTGGCTTTCTTCTGGGGTTTCCCCTTCACTTCCCAGATTCCCTGGTTGCTCCAACCTGCCTTCCGGTTCTTCCAGCTAGTCAGGTTTCTACCAGAGTCTCAGCCACCCAGAGCGCTGTCTCGCTGGCATCTCTTCCCCCTTGCTGTCTCCAAGGAAGAGCCCCCACAGTGCAGACTCTGCCAAGGCGGGGAGGCCCAGGCCGGTGCTGAGGCTGCCCCTCAGAGCTGAGAGCCGGCAAGAAAGGGAGGCCGCCAAGTGCTCCCCCTGTGCAGCCTCTGCTGAGACCAGGGCCCCGGGACACCCAGCCAAGCTGTGCCCGTACTCCTGACCCACAGACGCGGTGAGACCAGTGGTCAGGCACGCTGTTCAAGGGCGGGGATCTGAGAAGTGAGGGAGCTCTGTGGACACTGGGGCGAGGGGTTCCAGCAGAGGGCAGAGCCTTGCGGGGAGCCAGCCTCTGTGAGGGGGTTCCCGCCCCGTCACAGCAAGTCACCCGAGGCCCAGACGAGGCACTCTGGAGGCCCACGGTGGCCCACGTGGAGTCGATATTCTCGCACTGGCCACTTGTTCGGTTTTGCTGCCTTTCCTTTGTGAGCGAAGGTTCCCACAGCCGGAGGGGAGCTCTCCCCGCGTCTGCGGAGCCCGCTGTGCAAACAGAACTGACCCCAGGGAGGAGGCCCGCATAGGCCTGGCCAGCAGCCACATGGGTCTCCCCTGGAGAGGGACTGGCTGGCCACAGCCTCTCCCGAGGGGCATCAGGCTCCACTGATTCCATGACCAAGAGGGAGAAAGGAATTTAAGAAGCCCAGACAGCCATGGTCAGAGAGTCAAAGGGAGAGGCAGGGAGGGAGAGGGAGGGGAGCTGGGCCCTGCGCCCTGGGGAGGGGGAGGAGGGGGAGGGGAACTAGGAAGGAGGGGGAAGGGGGCTCCTTGAGCAACTCAAGGCACAGAAATGGCCCCAGCCCAGCTGTGGGCCCTGAGACCCCCTCCCGTTGGGTGACTGGGTGCCCTCACTTCCGGGCCTGTTCCCTCGTCTGAAAGGCTGGCGTAGCACCGAGGGAGCTGTGGCTGGAGTGTGTGTGTGAGGACCAGGGGGACTCACTAACTCGGCCGTGGGCTGGAGAGGATTCCTCGAGGGCAGGGCCACGGGTGAACGCAGCCACGAGCGAGCGCGCCTACCTGCTCCGTACACCACGGCGTACACCACCCTCTTGGTCTGCTCCCTGTCTGTGTGCGTCACACGCTCTGCGGGGATGTCCTTCCTGCGTGGGAAGAGGGCCCGCTGTCAGGCACTGGCGCCCCTGGCAGCCGTGGGGCCGCGAGAGCCCCCCCTCCGCGCGGTTCTTCCTCTGGAGGCTCTTCACCTGCAGCCGCCCTCATACGGGGCGGGGGGCGGGGGGGGGAGAATGACAGTCCCCTGCAGCTCCTCTCAGCCCGACCCGGGCGCATGGGAGCACCAACCACATACACCAACGGCATCCCCAGGGAGTGGGCAGGGCTGCGCCCGTCCCTCTGCGGGCCTCCAGCAGCTGCTGCCTGTCCCCCCGACGGAGGGGCTAAACCCTCAGACAGCGTGAGGGTCAGCTCAGCACCCCAGCTCTGTGGGCTGGACAGGAGGACTTGAGCGGGCTCTGCACACCCAGGTGGGGACGCCAGGCAGTTCCTCTTGCAGGAGGAGCCCAGCGGGAGGAGCTGGGAGCTGCCAGCCCTCGCTTCCTGCGGGCCCTGTGGTGCTCTCATCTCCCAGGGGCTCTGCTCACCTCTCCCGCAGCGGCCAGGGGTCTCAGCGAGTGAGTTCTGAGTCAGGCGGCCACGCAGGCCCCAGGCCACCCAGAACCCACAAACGCGCTTCCCTGCCAGGAAGCGGCTGGCGCCTCAGGCCCCAGGATGGCCGTGTGGGCGCAGGGCCGGGTGCTGGGCAGGAGGGAGGGCGGCCGGCAGCACCGCACGCTGTCCTATGGCTCAGTGCCTTTCTGGGCTCAGCTCGGCTTCGCTGCCGGAGCCGGTTTCCCAGGCAGAGCTGGTCCCGACAGTTGTGAGGACTTTCTGGTGCTCCCGTCGGGGTGAGGCCCCAGGGCTGCCTGCCCCCCATTTTCATGGCGGCCCTGAGCTCCGTGATTTTACCGCCTGATTTCCAAGCCCCGCTGCAGTTCTTCCTTTCTTGTCCTTTTCCTGCTGTTCGACTGTTTTGCCCACTTGTCTACCTCACCTTAACCTTGGCACTGTTAACGGCTGCGTTTCGAGAATAAACAAACACACCCTCGCTCAGAGCAAATGCACGTACATGTCAGGCTGTGTCAGCAGCCATTCTGCATGACGGCCACACGACGGACACGCGGGTTGTCCCGCCTCCCACTGCTGTGAGGAAGGCTGCTGTGAGCACGTCAAGTTTTTAAAATCCTCACCCAAGGGTATGCTTATTGACTTGAGCGGGGAGGGGAAGAGAGAAAAAGAGAGAGAGAGAGAGAGAAAGAGATATCGATGGTTGTCTCCCATACACACCCTGACTGGGATCAAACCTGCAACCGGGGTATGTGCCCTGATGGGGAATCGAACCCTCAACCTTGCGGTGTGTGGGACGACGCCCCGGCCAGGGCTGCGGGCAGGTGTCTGTGGACAGGAACGAGGAGGGACTGGCTGGGTCGTGTGGGGACTCTAACTCCCCTGCGGCTCTGTCTCCCAGGAAGGCAGGAGCCAAGCGCTCTTTCCTCCGATCCCCGCAGACCCTCCGGAGGGCGATCTGGTGCGGCCACGAGGCCACTGCTGGGCCCGTGGGGCTGCTGCCCGTCGGCACGTGAGCCTGACCGTTGCCTCTGGGGCCCCGGGAGGAAGCGGCCTGATGGTAGATTACGGCCTCGGGTCACGGGTCAGGCTGTCCACTCCTCAGCCTCTGGGCCACTCAGTTCCAGCCAGAGGGGGACCCTCGCTGCCCTCCTCCCCCACCTGCCCCCATGGCACCTGCCCCTCCCCATGCTCACCCCGTCGGGCAGGTGAGCGTCAGGCTGGGACTGCTGGGGGACAGTGAATCAGACATGTGGCCGAGCGGGGCACATGCACACATACGCGCACACACACGTGTGGCTATGTCAACGCGAGGGCAGTAACGAGGGCGACAGTCCCCATTCGTTGACATCCGCAGGTCTGCCCAGACCCCCCTCTGCGCTCGTCCTGTGAATATAACTGCCTGGTTCCCACTGGACGTCCCACCTGACTCCCTCGGGACTGCTCTCCCTGACAAGCCTCCCCTCCGCACACGTGCACTCAGACCCATGTGGCTGCTGCCACCTCCGCCCTTCCCCCTGGGAGGAGCCCGGCACCCCTCACCCGGGGCCGCAGGGTCCCCTCTGCCTTCCCGCCTCACAGCCAGCCCGTCTCCACTCGGCAATGGACGGCCTCTCCATAAAGACTCGGGCGGTCCTAACCGCTCCCCGCTCCCTCCCAAGGTCCCGCTACAATGAAGCAGAGGAGTGAAAAGGCAGAAATCCGCAGAGAGGAGGATGGAGGGCCTCCAGCAGGCAGGCCAGCTGGGTCCTGAGAGAGAGAGGGGCAGGGCTGGGCGGGGCTGGCCCGCCTCTGAGAGCTCACACAGGCGCCCAGGCAGCAGCCCAGGGAGCGGGGCGTCTGGGAGGGGATGTCAGGGGAGCCCGAGGCAGGAGCAAGCCATGGGGCTCCCAGACTCGCCCAGGCTCAGCGAAGTCCCGGCCCACAGGCAATGAGGATGAGGATGAAGTGAAGGAGAGGATTCTCTCCTGCAGCTGGTGGTCCTGGAAAAGGGCCCCTCTGTTTGGGTGCTCCAGGGGCCCCCGGGCGCTGAGCCCAGCAGCTGGGTTATTCTGAAGGGAGGGCACAGGCCAGCCATCTCGCCTCACTCTGAATGGTGAGCGGAGACCCAAAGGCACCCCGAGGTCTGGGCCCTCCTCTGTGGGTGTCCCCAACTCCCAACGCCCCTCAAACTGTGGAGCCTGGCAGCGCATCCCCCTGCAGGGACGGGGCCCTGGTGCTGAGCTCCCTGCAGACCTGAGCTGGAACTTCATGGGACAGCTGGGGGCGGCGCTGCTGAGAATGGGAGCTGCCGGCCTGGAGCTGGGGGGGGGGGTGCTGCACCCCGTCCCCAGGCCTCCCACGCGCCAGCTCCAGGCGCTGGCATAGGTCTTCTGCCCTCGCACTCGGCCTGGTCACCCCTCTCCCCGCAGTGCGAGCCTCGCTCCCCGTCTGGCCCATCAGAATGGAGCGGGAGGTGCTTGGATCCCATGCCAACATCTCTCTCATGGGTCCTGCGTGGTGCCTCCCGTTTTGCCTGACCCCTGCGGTGCCCAGGTCCTGGGGACTGGACCCCCAGACGGCTCTGGTGTCCACCAGCTTCCCCTGGTGAGGCCCACAGGGCACCAGCAGGCCCGAGGGTGTCCCAGACTCCAGCTGCCCAGCCCTTCCTGGTGACCCAGGCGGCAAGATGTGTCCCTCCAGGTGCTGCCCTCACCCTCCTGGGCTCTGCTCTCAGGGGCACAGCCCAGTGCGCTCTGACTGGGATGAGGAGTGATGGCTAGTGGGTCTGGGCTGTCTTTGGGGGGTGGAATGTTCTAGAATTAGACAGTGGTGCTGCAACACCTTGCGAGTGCACTAAAAACCACTGAATTGGCGAGGGCTGAGCCACACGGACGTTCCGGCAAAGAGCTTCCCAAGCCCTCAGGGGGTAAGGCCTGAGTGGGGCGTGGGCCGGGCCAGCCCAGTGGTGGAGAGGGTGGAGGCAGTGACAGGCAGAGTGGCCAGCACCTGCACTGGACAGAGGGGCACGACCCGCCTCAGAGGGCTCCCAGCCTCCATAAGAGACAGTGACAGTGAGAGAGGAGAGTGTGGGAGGAAGTGCAGGCTTGAGAGCACAGAGGACAGCCTCCTGGAGCTTCCTCTCGAGCGATCCTGCAGGTGAGTGGGGATGAGAAGGTGGGAGGGGGTGCGGAGCTCCACAGAGGGAGCGGGATGCTGGGAAAGGCCGAGGGAGAGGGGTGCCTGCAGCGGCTAGGAGGGACCGAGCCCGCGTGGCCCTCTGCTTCCTGGTGCAGAACCTGACTTTGTCCAGGCAGTGATGTGCCTGGCCCTGGTGAGAAATGACGCTGAGACTCTCTGTTCTGGAGCATTCCCCTACCAGCCTCTCTTGCAGCTACGTCAGCTGACAGCCAGTTCTGGAAAGTGAAGTGCAGTGGGTGGGCGCTGGGGCAGGGCTCTTACCCTCCTGCCCCAGGGCGGATGTGGGAGGAGCCTGCACCTCCACATTCCACACCCAGGAAGAGCCGGAGCTGGCATCCCAAGGATATCGACCCAGAAAGCACAGGCCGTGGGTGCCACTGCTGAGCTGCCCAACAACACCCGAGGCCGTCTGCCTCTGCTATTTGTGAGTCACGGTGGGGCAGGGACTGCCGCAGGCAGACAGCGTGCTGGCCCCCTCGGTGGGGGTGGGGCAGCAGTAGCGCAGCCGGCTCTGTGCTCTGCGCACTGCCACTCATCTAGAGGGAACCCGTGACTTGTGCTTTTCATTTTCCCAACATTTTGATTACATTCTTCAGCAATCGCCTTCTCTTTTAGCAGCAAAGAGTTATCCGTTTTCATAATTAGCAAACTCTTGGCATCCTAGTTATCTACTCTTCTTTTCAAGATTAACCACTAGAGAAAAAGATAATTTCTTTCTTATGAAAACAGCCTCAGAATAACGCCAGGCATTCCTGCAGATCTGATACTCCCGGGAGCTCGCTATCTTACCACTGTGAAGTCAGGGTGGAAAAGACGTCGTCGCTCTCAGGTTCCTGGAATAGCTTCAGAAGCTCTGGGTCCCCAGATAAGTGTGCAAGAATGCGCAACTCAATCTGCGCAAAGTCTGAGAAAAAGTCTGCGTTAACCAGAATCCACCACCAGTGTCCCTCCTTGCTGCTGCCCCGGCCCAGCCTCACCCCCACCTCGACACCAAGGGACCACCCCTTCCCACTGGCCACCCTGTGTCTGCAAGTCCAGAGGCCCTCTGCCTCCCGTGAGGCCGGCAATGCCTCCGAGGGTGGGCTGTGTTCATCCACCCGCCCATTCTGAACATGGGAATTTCACAAAGGGCCTACTGTGTGCCGGGCTGGGTGCTGGCGAGCAACACAGACCCGTCTCTTTCCTCTTGTAGCTCTGGGAGGGGATGGGGGTGCGCTGGGTGAGATGAAAGGGCAGCGGTGGGTGAGGAGGGAGAGGCTGCTGTGAGAGGCGGTCAGCATGCACCTCACAGACCGGGACCTGAGCACAGGCACAGGGGATGGGGGGGGGGGGGGCGAGGAGGGAGCAAGATGCTCTTGGGGACGCAGGTTCCGGGGTGAAGGACAGCGGAGCCGCCCGCATGGCCAGGATGATAAGCACAGAGAGGAGGGCCAGACGGGGTGGGGACCTGGAGGGCTATTTGAGATCCAGATGTGGTGCCGTGAGGGCCCCGGAAGCAGACTTCTGTACTGTGCGTGAGAAACCCTTGCTTCATATAAACATTCGCCTTAGGGTTTATTTTAGAGAATGAGTTTTAGCCCAGCTGGCGGGGCTCAGTGGTTGAGCATCGACCTAGGAACCAGGAGGTCATGGTTGGATTCCCGGTCAGGGCACGTGCCCGGTTGTGGGCTCGATACCAGTGGGGGGTGTGCAGGAGGCAGCCAATCCATGATTCTCATCATTGGTGTTTCTATTTCTCTCTCCCTCTCCCTTCCTCTCTGAAATAAAAAGATAAATATATAAAAAGAATGAGTTTTAGAAGCACCTTTGAATTATTCAATTTGTAAACATTTTAACTGTGTGAAAGGCACAGGGTGAGCTACAGCGACCGCAGCACCTCCACCTGGTCTCCGTACCTGCCGCTAGGAAGGTGTGGCCCCTGGCGGAGACCAGCATGGTCCTCGGGGAGATGGTGAGGGCGGCCTCTTCCTTCCCTGGATCGGGGTGCAAGGCACTTGGTGAATTGCTCGCGGGCTGATCTGCAGCCCGTCCTCAGACATTACTTTACCATCATTCTCCAGTCCAAGGAGTCTAGATTTTGCACTTTGAATATTTTTAATAATGTAATTTAAAAATATCATATCATTATTGAAAGCAAATCGATGTCCTATTAAACTTTCCTGTTCTGTCTGGGCTTCCCAGTGAGGAGAAGGGCCAACACTGACGCTTAGATGTGGCCCATTGAGAGCAACCTGAGCCCTGGCCGGCTTGGTTCAGTGGATAGAGCGTTGGTCTGCGGACCAAAGGGTCCCGGGTTCGATTCCGGTCCAGGGCACGTACCTCGGTGGCAGGCTCCTCCCGGCCCGGGCCCTGGTGGGGGAGCCTGCAGGAGGCAACCAATCCATGTGTTTCTCTCACATCGATGTCTCTCTCTGTCTTTCCCTCTCCCTTCCACTCTCCCTAAAAATCAATGGGAAAATATCCCCGGGTGAGGATCAACACACACACACACACACACACACACACACACACACACGGCTGCTTAGTTCCCCGACAGGAGCGACGCGGTTCAGCTTTGACCGTTTCTGTCTTAGAAATGCCACCGTCATGACAGTGAGGCACGGAGAAGGAGCTGCTCGCCCGCCTTACAAACAGCCCCTGAGATTTCCAGACTTGCACACACGTGAGCTCCTGGCTGCTCTTCCTTTCCTGGGAGCTGGTGGGGGGAGCTGGGAGCAGGGCAATGCTTCCTGTATAATTAGCATCTACTTGAACTTGTAAACTGCCAGAAGGGAGGTGCCCTACCACTTCGGCCTGCTCTACTCTTCACTGTGCATTAGGTCCTGGCTGTGCACACAGAGGAGAACCCGGGGACAGCGACAGAGAAGCCGTCGCAGACACAGACTCCAGCCAAGTGGAAAGGAACGCCTTACCTTTATAGTTCCGAGGCTTAGTAATCTGAACTGGGTGCTTGGAGATGCCTTGGATATTCTGTTAATAATAAGAGAACAGCTATGGCTGAAATGTTTTCATTAAATTAATCTGTACATTTAAGGGATTTGAAATGTGTCACATTTTATTAAACATTAACAAAATAGGCCCGGCCGGCGTGGCTCAGTGGTTGAGCAGGAGGTCACGGTTCGACTCCCAGTCAGGCTCACAGGAGGAAGCCATTGATGTGTCTCTCTCATCAATGTTTCTCTCTCTCTCTCTCTCCCTCTCCCTTCCCCTCTGAAATCAATAAAAATATATTTTAAAATGTTTAACAAAATAACATGCCAGTGCGTTATGCATTACCATGTGACCTCAACTGCCTGATACTGAACGTCATTCCAGTGGGACCCACTGAGTGTGCACAGCGAGTGTGAGAGCAAGGCTTGTGGCTCCAGCCGGTGGCCCTGTCAAAATTAGTGCAGTCATTCTGGCAGCAGCAGCCTAACTTATGAGCTTAGAGAACATAAAAACTCCTACATAATTTGATAAACATAGGCTGCTGTGCAATTTGTCCATTTATTTTCCTTTGTTAACATATTTGAAGATGGAAAGTCTGGTCTGACCCGCCCCCTCGGGTGCTCTCGGCGCTCGGCCCGTACGCGGCCTTCGCACTTGCAGCCCTGGCTGGTGACAAATGTGTCTGTGCCTGTCACACCGTGGGCGACAGCGACAGGGCACAGCCTGGCACTGACTGGCTGGCCTCCAGCCGGTGGCCGCTGTCCTAACCGTGAGAATGCCTGTCACATCCTCCTTTCGGCCGCGTGGGGCCCTGAGCGACGCCCCCGCGCTGTCTGCTCACGGAGCCCTTCGCAGTCGCTGGCCCTGACCCCTGACTCGTTGGGTCACCTGTGCCACATGCGGACCCTGACCCCTCAGACGACACACGCGAAGGCCCCGCAGCCCCGGGCGGGGAAAGGCAGGCTTGCCATCCTCACTCTTTAAGGCAAGGACACCGAGCCTGGAGGAGAGAGCTGGGCTCTCAAGTCTTCTGTACGTTAGAATCACATGACCCTCTTAAATGTTAGCCTCACCCAGGGATATGTTTTTATTGATCTTAGAGAGAGAGGAAAGAAGAGGGAGGGAGGGAGGAAGGGGGGGAGAGCAAGAGAGAGGGGGAGGGAGAGAGAGAGAGAGAGAAACATCAACCAGTTGCCTCCTGTACACACCCTGACCTGGGTTCAAACCCACAACCCGGGTATGTGCTCTTGGCCCTGGGTATGTGACTGGAATCAAAACCATGACCTTTCCAGTCAACTGAGCCATACAGGTCAGGGCGAATCACATGATAGTAAAAAAATACCAAGTATTTACACGCTAAGCTCCTAATAGAACAGGCGACAGAAAACAAGAGCCGCTTCCCTGGCCGGGTGGCTCAGTGGTAGAGCATCGTCCTGATGCACCAAAGTTGTCAGCTCCATCCCTGGCCAGGGCACATACAAGAACCAACCAATGAAGCCATGAATAAGCGGAACAACAAACCTCTCCTTCTCTCCCCCACCCTCTCTTTACAATCAATTTTAAAAAGTTTTTTGAAAAGAAAGAAAGAGGCGGTGAAGCTGAAGCGAGACCAACAGAAGCTACCGAACGTAAAGGAGAGAAGAAATCCTGGGGGGAAGGGCCAGCGCTCCGGGGCCTGCGGGCTAGCAAAAGAACAACGGCGCATCATTTCAGCCCGAGGGAGAAAAACATATTTGTGCAGAAAAAAATACTTAAAGAAATAATGGCTCAAAATATCCCAAATTTAGTGAAAGACATATTTTTCAGATTCAAGAGGCTGAAAACCTAAGCAGAATACATTAAAGGCAACTTGGGCCCGGCAGCATCATAATCAAACTGCTAACCATCGGAGATTAAAAACTATCTTGAAAGCAGCCAGAGCAAAGGGCACAGCAGTGCCGGGCCTCACCGTGCGTGACGGCGTCTCAGCAGACGTGGGGCGAGCTCCCGCGGGGAGAAGGAACTGTCAACCAGAACTTGCTCTGCGCAAACTTTATGTTCCAGGAATGCAGGTAAATCGAAGGCATTTTTAAATGAATAAAATGAAGAGCATCTGCCTCAGCAGACCTGCTCTGAAAGAAGGCTAATGGCCTGGCCAGCCTGGCTCAGTTGGTTGGGCATCGTCCGGTGCACCAAGGGGTTTCCGGTTGATTCCTGGTCAGGGCACATGCCAGGTTGTGAGCTCGATCCCCAGTAGGGGGCGTGCCGGAGGCAGCCCATCAAGCGTTCTCTCATCATTGATGTTTCTCTCTCCCTTCCTATCTCTCTAAAAAAAATCAATAAAAAAATCTTTAAAAAAGGAAAAAAAAAGAGGTAAGAATGATCAATTACAGGAATAAAAGAGGATATTACTATATGTCACACGGACATTAAAGATAATAAAGCAATACCATGAGCCATGATACACCCAAAAGTTCAACAGCTTAGATGAAGGGGGCCAATTCCTTGAAAGACACGAAGAAATAGAAAATCTGAATAACCTGCATCTGTTACAAAAAATTGGCTTTGCAGTTTAGAACCTTCCCACCAAAAAAACAGACAAACAAAAAACCCAACCCCCAGGACCAGATAGTTGTAATGGTGAATTCTACCACAGATGTAAGGAATAAATAATACTTATTCTACATCATCTCTACCAGAAAACAAATGAGGAGGAAATTCTAAGTCATTCTGTGAGGCCAGTAATACCCCAATAGCAAACCCAGATAAAAACATTTTGAGAAAACTACAGACCAGTGTCCCCCAGGAATACAGACACAAACTATCCTAAACAAATATCAGCCCTCAAATCAGCAACAGCAACAACCCAGCACGACTGAGGGGGGTTCATCCCACAGCCCAGCCGGGGCTGGTTCAACATTTGAAAATTCAATCAATGTTGTTCACCATCTAAACAGTTGAAAGAACATTCACGCAGTCATCTCAATAGATGCAGAAAAAGCATCCAACGACACTAAGTGTCCGTTCACGATAAAGCCCCTTGGCAAAGCGGACAGAGGAGAGGTCCAGCAGGATGAAGAGGGTGCGCAAACCTAGAGCTCACACCATCCGCAAGGCCATGGCTCAACGTTTCCCCCTGAAGATCGGAAACGGGCCTGCGAGGGCCTCAGTGGAGGAGGCCTCCTCCTACGCTCCCGGGAGCTGCATGGCGACACAAGTTCATCTCTGCTGGGGAGGAACAGAGGAGGGATCCCCAAGACCTGCCGGGACAGGACGGGACGCTGAGGCAGAGCGCTGAGAAGTGGGGGGGAGGGGAGGGAAGGGCACAAGCTGGGCCGGCCCGTGTGACTTAGCCATCAGATCAGACTCACACACTCAGCCTCCACACAATGAACACTGACACACCACACCAACCACTGAGGCAATTCCTTCACCAATGAGCACAAGCTGTAAGGACTAACATGCTTTCCTCCCAACAACACATTAGCGATATTTAACACTCGCTAATTCAAATTTAAGTCTCCAACCTTCTTCCTTCCCTCGAGAACACTTAGTGACTACGTGTCACATGGCAGACGCTGCAGATTCCTGGGACAAACTGGGGCAGCGACTCCAGAAGCTACAGCGGGAGGAAGGCCATCACGGGGCAGCGGGACGTGACAGGTCACCGAGGATCTCGGGAATGCACAGCTGCGATGCAGCTGCCACAAAGGGAGACGGTGAGGGAAGGACAGTAAACCAGGGCGCAGAGCGGGCGCCTAGACACAGGCCACGCCTTCATCAGAACGACTGAGTCACAGCCAGCAGCCACCCACATGGAAAGCCCTCCGAGCGCTGCCTCCCATCTACAAAAGGCAAATTCAAGGGGTTACAACCGAAGCACAAAGCAAAACTCTGAACTACGACCAGGGAACAGAGTATCTTTATGATTCCCACGGAAGGAAGAGTTCCTGGAATAAGACACCAAAGAGCACAAGCCATAACGAAAGGACGACACATGTGGCGACAGTAAAGCAGAAAGCACCTGTAAACGAGAGACACAGAATGCAACATGGAAGAAAACCTGAACATCGACCAGAGACGGGAGGAGATCCTAATATATAAAACCCTGGGTCTGTCACAACTGGAGGCTCGACCAACCCGAAGTCAGTCCTGCAGTCAGCGCTGGGTTGGCGTGGCGACCCAGCCCTGACTGCTGCAGCTGCAGGTATGGTGACCCAGCACTAACTGCTGAGGGGGCTGCGAATCAGGCCCAGAGAGAGGCCTGAAGGGAGAAGCAGTGTCTGATCCCTAGCCTGTGTGGCAGCTGTTGATCAGCACTTGCCTCTCTCTTTCTCTCCGGGCCAGGCCAGCAGCCACGCCTCCATTTCCAGGCCTCCACTGGGGCTGCTGATCAGCCCCACCTTGCTGATCAGGCCCCGTTGATAGGCTCAGAGACGCTGACTGGCATAGAAACCGACTAATCAGAACCAAATCTGGGTGAAGTGTGAGGAGCCAATGGCTGCCTAGGAGGCGGAGCTTTTGATGCTGACTGGCATAGAAACTGACCAATCAGAACCAAATCTGGGTCAACTGTGAGGAGCCAATGGCTGCCTAGGAGGCAGAGCTTTTGACGCTGACTGGCATAGAAACCGACCAATCAGAACCAAATCTGGGTGAACTGTGAGGAGCCAATGGCTGCCTTGGAGTGCAGTTGGGGGCAAGATCAGGTTGGCAGGGGAGGGCCATTGGGGGTGAGATCAAGCCGGCAGGGGAGGGCAGTTGGGGGCAACCAGGCCTGCAGGGGAGAGCAGTTGGGGGTGAGATCAGGCCGGCAGAGGAAGGCAGTTGGGGACAACCAGGCCTGCAGGGTAGGGTAGTTGGGGGCGAGATCAGGCCGTTGGGGAGGGCCATTGGGAGCAAGATCAGGTCGGCAGGGGAGGGCATTAGGGATGATCAGGCAGGCAGGCAGAAAGGTTAGGGGCGATCAGGCAGGCAGGCAGAGGTAGTTAGGAGCTATCAGGCAGGCAGGTGAGCGGTTAGGAGCCAGCGGTCCCAGATTGCGAGAGGGATGTCCGACT